GAGGTCAGAATCGTTGAAACGGTGGAAATCTTGGAGTGGCCTGGCCCTCAAGGTAAGAAGCATAAACAACAACTCAGCTGTGCGTTGTCCCGGAACTTTAGACTTTTCTATCATGGCGAATGCGCCACTGGCAGGGAGGACACTCTTCCTTGAGTATTTATCGCGCGGTTTGCCGACATAGCGGTCCGTAATCCTGCAACCTGCGAGGTGGGGTTAAGCTTGCTCTGACGAGGACAGCGATCTGGGCCACTACACTTGTAATGGGCGCTTTCAACCAGGACAAATAGGAGAAATAATATGTCGGTCGGGTGGACAGGAGAGAATTGCATGAGGAAAGGTTATCCCGATGGAGGAAGCAGAACGAATAGTCGCAGGAACATGTTCATGCATGAAGCGATTTTCGAAATGGATTCAACATTTGAACTAACGCTCAGCACGGTAGTTTAAGTCAACAACATTGATTCCAATTTGACAGGAGGTTATGAATTGATCTCCGATCATTTGCAAATTGAGAATCTGAAGCTCTGTTCAACACCAGCCATCTTTGAGTCACGATCGAAATCACTTACCACAAACAACTTTAACAAACACTCGATGATGCCTGGAGAGAGAGTTGGTCTGCGAATTAGCATTCCAACCGCCCGAAGCATAGATACTTACGGTGTTGATAACTGCTGTATGTTGCGTCTTGTGGACACATCACTGAAGAATTTTGAGAAGTTCAAGGATACATTTATTGACCTAAACACGTATACCAAGGAACTTCAGAATGACCACCATTCTTACTATAGTGACAAATCCATGGACAGCACATCAACCGCTTTCGATGCGATCGGTTTAAAGTTTATTGATTCAAGACCCCCGAGAACGGAATTTGATGAATATACACCGTGTCCGGAGCCCACCATGGAGGAGGTCTGGCCTACGGCTACGGGGTTTATCCCTGTCTGTGAAACGGCAGGGACTAATGTCAACGTAAAACCACGAGTCCGTGATTTCTTTCCAGAGGTCTGGCTATTTGACATCGTAACACTCAACCAAGCAGGACAGTATAAAGCCTTGCTTACTGCACCAGATAGCATGACTAGTTGGGAGTTCACGTCTCTCTGCTTCACGCCTAATCTGGGCATCTGGATGCCACCTAGACTGGAACCGGAGACTATCACCATCTCACTCCCCTTCTACGTCGAATTCACTCCCCCAGTGAAGGCCAAGAGACACGAAATCTTACACTTGCCCGTCAGTGTCT